TAGAATTTTATTGAGGGTTTTCCTTTTGAATCCGAAGTGAAGAATCCAAATCTGGGCTTAGATTTTTCTTCAGTCAGCTTAAATGCATAGTAGCCTTTAATCTTGACTTTGTCAATGTAGTATGCTGGGAAGGGAAACAAAAAAAAGGAAACAAAGCCAAATGTTACTTAAACCTTGTGTGACCTACAGACTTCCTGGTATAGAAACAAAGCCAAATGTTACTAAAACCTTGTGTGACCTACAGACTTCCTGGTATTGAGTAGAGATTTCAAGTTATAAATTTAGAAAAGTGTAATTGCATCATAAAATGTTTATTTGCACTTACTGCTCCTAATAATACTCAGCTGTCCAGTAGAAAGAGTAAAAAAGAGTGTTTAAAGAAAAAAAAATCATTTGGAAATTTTTTGGACCTACTCTGAAAGCTGGATTTGTACAGGGTTAGAGCTTGAAGATCGATTTTTCTGGGAAAAGTCAAATAGTGCTCTTTACTGAGCCCAGCTGCGGTGACTCAAGGGGAGCATCTGTGCCATGAGAGGAGCTCTTTGAAAATTCCTGCACTGCTCCGAGCCCAGCTGCTCAGCCTCGCAGCACGCGTGACTGCACGTTTTACTGCTGCACCCCAGTGTCATGTGAAAATATTTTAATGAAATCATACGTAGCGGTTCTTGGTGAGTAAACATCTCTCCAATTCATGTGTCTCTGCAGAGAGCAGAGTCGGGGATGTGGCCCAGATTAAGGAAGATCGTTGTAAATTGGGGTTATCTTTTTGTGAGTACTGAAGTGTCATGCTATCTGAAAATTCAAATGGGAATACTGTGATGATGTGCCCTTTAAACAACCTTTTCCTTTAATAACTTGTTCTTTTGTTTGCAGTGTGAAATTAGCGTGGAAAATAAATCAGCAAATGCTCATTAGGCCAATTGAAAAAGCTGTGCACCAGAGGGGGAACATTCAGTTACGTTTTGGTGTCTAAAAGTAATCTGAAGCCATGTTTAGCCATGAGTCAGACCTTTCTCATTTTTTACATATCTTGCCCCTAGAGAGGAGAAACCAGGATACCTAGACTACATCTGGGGACATGTGCCTCAGAAGACATCCCATGTCCTGGTCAGGGAACTCACTGGTGCTCACCAGTAGGGAGCAGTGCGTGCAGGGATGTATTGTACGTCTCGTTGTGGCTGTGGTTCAGGTACTGGAGCCTGTTCTGTACCCCGTGGCTCACCTTTTAATGTTTGGGTGGAGGAAGGGGGATGAGAGGAGTGAGATCCCTGTAGCATTGCTCATACAAGAAGCTATTGCTGAAGATCATTGCCTTGAACATTTTTGTCCTCTACCTCCATAATTGTTACTCATTTTTCTCTAAAGTGAAGAACTAGATTTCTCTAGGTGCCCGGAAGAAAGCAAGTAGCAGAACAGGAACTAGAGTTTGATTCTCTACTCAACAGCATTTCCATAAAAATCCAGTGACCTGCTGTATTTCTTCTGTATATCCCTGACCTGCTGTATTTCTTCTGTATATCCCTCCAAGTCTTCTTGATCTTGCTTGTGCTTTCCTGTCCAATGTCTAGAGTTCAGCAAGCAGTCAAGGAGGCTCCCACCTCTCTTTGTAGATTAGAAGTCAGAGTTGTCTCTTAGGAGCTGTTGGTCTGATGTGCTATCTCCTACTAACCTCTGAGTAACTGCCCTGCTGTATAGCATGCCTGGATGGCTTCTCCCATGGTTTAAACTGGAAGCAGCTGGGGCTGCGTTTCATATGAGGGGCTGGATGCCATTGCTTTCTGCTGGATCTACCCTGAGCATGACTGCAGGAACAGGCCCCTCACGGGGCTGAATGCTGATGGCTGGTTCCTGAATCTATCAGCCAGAAGAGCTCTCTTTG